AGGACCAAACTTAGTTATTCAACTTTATAGGAAACAGAGTCAGGCTCCTCAGAGCAAAACAAAGTAAGAGTCCAACTCACAGGAATTAAGTGTTTTTCATTGACTATCAGCTTACATAGGACTTCTGGTGCGGCACTGGACTGCAAACCATAAGGTCAGCAGTTCAAATCCACCAGCTGCTCCTCGGAAACCCTATAGAGTGTCGCTATGAGTGGGAATCGAGTCAATGGCTCTTAACAACAACAACAGCAACAACGTCAACGCTCATGGTTAGTTTCAATAGTAACTTGATACTATATTACTGAGTGGTTCTGTGTTGGGTTACTAACCTCAAGATGAGCAGTTCGAGACTACCAGCCATTCAGCAGGAGAAAGATGAAGCTTTCTGCTCCCGTAATGATTTACAGCTTCGGGAATCCTATACAGGGTCATTATGAGTCAGAACTGACTCCACAGCACACAACCACCACCAATAACCATTTGGATACTCTCACTGGCAGTACGAAGATGTATTATTATGTCTCTGCCATTTTTCTCCTTGCTCCTCTTCCACATGGTCTACTGTGTTATCGCGAGAGCAACCAGATACATTCCCATCTGGGGTCATTGCCTGGCTCTTCCCGCTTTCATACATCCCTTGCTCCCCTTTTTCCTTCACATCTGTATTCAGGGATAGTTTATTGTGAACACTCTTATCTTAAATGTCCAAACTCATCAAGACACTCCTGTGTCTGCTTTATTTCGCCTCACAACACGCATCAGCAGCTAACATACTGTATATTTCACTTACTTGTTTATTGCCTATCCTGTTCCCTACATCCTGTAAGAATGAAAGCACCAAGAAGGCAGGAATTTTGTCTATTTTGTTCACTGCTGTCATCAGGGGACTTATCACAAGATAGGTGCTCAATAGATAATTTGTAAAGGACTTTATAGCATTTCCTCCCTCATAGCAGCCATCAGAAAGCTCAGATTTGAATCTATTCTATGTATCCCAATAAATGCTTTGAAATTCTTCCTTAAACAAGTGGAAAGAAACAGAAAAGAGAGTAGAAAGAAGAGGATGAGAAGGAGGAGCTAAAAAGTTGGAGAAACCCAGATATGAAATGAAATAAAATATGAAAACTATAGTAAAAGATATTTCCTAGTATTACAGGATTATCAGGCAGAGTGGAGTTTGTATAATTATACTATCTGATATAAATGGAACTGACCCTCACTTTTTTTTAAATTAATAGTTTAGATATAGTCAGTCAAATGGAAGAGAAATTAGTCAAATCACTACTCAGTAACTTTTTCCAGTCTAAGAGACTAGCTTCTGCAAAGTTATTTATTGCCTACATGCACCTTTGATTATTTAATGCATTCTGGGCAGCTGTGATTTCTCAGACAGTTGTACTGATCGATTTAGATGAAATGAAGAAACTACTGTCAATGACTCAAGTATTTCTTAGAATCAGATACTTACAACCATCTTTGCTAACTGCATAAGTTTAAGGGGTGCTTTAATTTAACATAAAATTTCAATAAATTAACCGGGAATATAAGCATATCATAAAAATAGACTGAAAACTTCAAATGTCGAAGAGTTAAAAAAAAACAAAAAACACAAAAACCCTCCTTAATTCAAATTAATATAGAACGGAAAAGAAAATTAACTTTATATCAACTCTGTAACTAAAATACATTTTACCATATCACCTCTAGTCTCAAGGAAAATAAATACCATACACAGAACCCTGAAATAGATCCTAGTTAAATTCCTGACCTTTAAGGATTAGGATTCCTTCAAGTATTGTAGGAAAATAACTTTGTTGTTGTTGTTAAGTGCCGTAGAATTGGTTCCGATCCCAGCGACCCAGTATAGGGTTTTCAAGGAGTGGCTGGTGACTTTGAATCACCAACTTTGCAAATCAAACCAACATTGTGGTCCAGTGTATATCCTACAGACCCACCAGTTTAGCCTCAAATTTCTCCACAGCTACATCTAATACCAGAAGTTAAAAGAACGCTGACTACACATTTCTAAGGGAAAAGAAAGAAATCCAGTCAAATTGTTTTGGAGGAGTCTTCTGGGTTATGCAAATGGTTAAGTGCTCAACTAGTCACTGAAACCTTAGCAGCTCAAACTCATCTAGAGGAACCTCAGAAGAAAGGTCTGGCAATCCGCTTCCAAAACCCTATGGAATCCAGTTCTACTCTGACACACAGGGGCTCGCCAGGGGTCAGACTAATTGGGTGGCAACTAGGTTGGGTTTTTCTGGTTAAGTCCCTGAAAATATTCATTGTTAATGTTAATGTTGTTGCACATTCTCTGAGTCTCATGGTTACCAAAGTTCAACGTGTCCTATTGGAGTTTTTCAACCTCAGCTCTGCTGATGTCTTGGAGCAGGTGATTCTTTCTTCTAGAGGACCATCTTGGGCCTTGTAAGATGTTTAGCAGCATTCCCAGCCGCTGCCTGTTAGCTGTCAATCACACTGCCTCAACCTCTCCGAGTCATGACAACCCCAAATGTCCACAAGTTTCGACACATGACCACTGGAGGTGGGGGGCAGGGAGGCTAAGATAGCCTTGAATGAAGACCCACTGCTCTGAATGAGTAGGTGCTGTGTGCTGTCTTGTTGCAGATGCTAAGTGCCGTTGAGTAGGATCCTACTCAGAGCAACCCTGTATAGGGTTTCTAAGAGTAACTGGTGGGTTTGAACTGCCAACTTTGTGGTTAGTAGTTCATTGCTAATCCTACAGTGCCATGCTTATTTGCATTCCTGGAAAGATGTGTGGGAGAAAAAAACTCTAACGTATAGAATTGATAGTACCCTCATCCAAGCAGCTAGATCACCAAGGGCCTGTGGTCAGTGTCAAAAGGAGACCAAGGCAGCCATTGCAGGCCTCTGAAGGGGTTGTGGCGAAGGCTCCTTAAAAGCCAAGAAGGCCAGACTTCGTCTCTCATACTTTGACCATATTATCAGGAGTGGCCAGTCCTTGGAGAAGGACATCATGCTTGGTAAAGTGGAGGGTCAATGAAAAACAGGAAGACCCCCCACCCCCACCCCCCCAACGAGATGGATTGCCACAGTGACAGCAACAATGTGTGCAAGCACAGTAACAGTTGTGAAACTGGTGCCGGACTGGGCAGCAGTATTTTGTTCTGTTGTGCATAAGGTTGCTAAGAGTTGGAACATATGAGCTGTGGTAGCATAGTGGTTACGAATTGGGCTGCTAATCTCACGGTCAGCAGTTCAAAACTACCAGCTGTTCTGCGGGAGAAAGATGAGGGTCTCTGCTCCCGTAAAGATTTACAGCCTTGGAAACCCTGTAGAGGGTCGCGATGAGTCGGAACCAACTCCACGGCACATAACAACAACAACAACAACAACACTAAGGTGGCTGGCCCAGACCTCTGAAGGGTTAACCCTCACAGCTAGCAGTAAAAAGTGCAAGTGAAACACAGAAAACTGCTTTTCTGTAGCCACTTAAAACGCCCTGGCTTGCATGTACCTTGAGCTTCAACTTGGTCTCCTTCACCTAGTCTTGGTCTGTCTGTGAAATACCCAGGATCAGAGGCACGTGACTGTGTCATACCAGCAGAGTAGAAAGGAGAAGATGATAAAGATGCAGGAGGCTGGGCAGAATGGTAGATAATCTTTTACACTGAATACATAAACTTTTATAGGCCAATATCATGTTTGCTTTTAAACTAAGTAACTTCTGGCAGGAATCTCCAAAAATTCGCTGTATTGTTGGATTTACCCCTCCTTTGCTGATTGAGGCCCTAGAATAAGATTTTATTTGAGGATACACTTTTAGTGTAAACAAATATTTCTTGCATTTCTATTTTAAGTTCTGGAAATAATCAAGCGCATCAATAATTAATGGATCTGTCTCAAGCCTTATCTTATTTCAGAGAAAATCTATGAATGGGAACATATGCTCATTTCATTCCCACCTGTAAATATATTTTTTCTATGAACTTATATTTGCATTTTGAAATTCTGACTTGGGTTGAATACAAGGGGGCTTCAAAAAGTTCATGGAAAAGTTCCATTCTCTTTTAATTCCATATTCCCATGACTTTTTGAAGCTCCCGCCTGTATAAAACATTATGTCTCATTGGTCTAAAGTAAACCACATACACATACAGAGAGAGAGAAACAAAACTCGAGATTAAAAGTTGAACTATATTTGATTAAACTGACGTTTGAATCCACAAATCTTCTATTAATTTCACTCCAGACTTGACAATAGACTCACATACATTCTTAACCATTTTGCGTTGTTAAGCTTTCATATTGCGGCTTAACAATGTGAAACCGTGACTTGTACATGCAGCTAAGTGAAGGTAGATGTTTAGGAGTGTCATATACATATATAGAAACAATGACCCACTGTCATCAAGGTGACCTGACTCTGACCCCTAGTAACCCCATATAGTTCCCCAGAATGTAAATCTTCACAGGAGCTCACAGCCTCATCTTTCTTTCACAGAGTGGCTGGTGGGTTTGAACCACTGACCTTGAGCTAGTTGAACAACACCTAACCTACCATGCCAACATGGCCCCTTATGCTAATACAAGCCCATCTGTTTGAAATGCGCGACAGTTTCTTCTCTCGGAATCTTTTAATAGGATTTTCTGTCACTTTATTTATCACAAGGCTCTGTGCTTAATATGGGTGCTTTTTTGTTGACTGACTAAAAGAATCTTTCAGACTTTAGTATCTGTTTTCATAACAGCGCTGTTATTATTAAATGTCTTTGCATTGGTTCCAACTCACAAAGACCCTATATAGAAGACTGTAAATCTTTGCAGGATCGATCGGAAAGCCTCATTGCAGGATCGGAATGGGTGACTGGCGGGCTTGAATTGCCAACCTTGTGGTTAGCAGCCCAGTTCTTTTTTGAGAGGGTCACCGTACATTCTCCGAAACAGTAGTCTACTTAATTTATTATGTGACTCATGGCCTTCCTGAGGTATGTTTACAACACATGGCCACTACTTACTGTCTCCCCGGCAGAGTAGAGGCCCCAGTTTATAAGCTGCTTCTGAATGTGGTCGGCCTGTGTCTGTGATCACTATCTTAGTTACTGGCAGATGTTCTTTATAAGAAAGGAATCCAGTGTCATTGGTCCTATAAAACAGTAGCAATAACAAAACTTGTAAAATTATTCTGATTAGCATAATTATAAGATAAACAATAATCCTTCTTGCAGTTCAAAACCAAGATGTTCTGAGCTAAATTTGCACACACAAAAGACTAAGGACAAATTGATCATCTGATCTCATAATAACGTGGTTAACATTCAACTGTCTTCTCCAGACAGAATATAGTTGTTCATTTTTAAATTCAGTTAGTTGTTTCCTCCCATTTAATTGGAATGGCTAATCCATTTACATTTAATGGAATGTCTGATGTTGGGTTAGGGTTTCCATTTGTATTCCTCAGCTTGGTGACAGAGTCTTTGCTATAAATGGGTGAATATTCTTGAGTTTTTATGTAAAGTGGGGGAATTTGCAAACCCCATGTAAATTGCTGTGTGTCTTCCAGTTGATTCTGACTCAGAGACCCTAGAAGGTAGAGTAGAACTTTCCCATAGAGATTCTTAGGCTGTAAATCTTTATGGAAGCAGCTGATCTTTCTCCTGCAGAGTAGCTGTTGAGTTTGAACCATTATCCTTTTGGTTAGAAGCTCAGTGCTTAACCATTGCACCACCAGAACTCCCCATCCAAATTCTGACTCCCCTATGACAGAAGAAAGGAGCTCTGTTGGCAGAGTGGGTAATGCACTGGACTGCTAGCTGAAAGGTCAGGATTCGAACCCACCAGATGCTCCACAGGGGAAAGAAGAGGCAATCTGCTTCCATAAGAGGGTAGCCTTGGAAGCCCTAGGGGGCAGCTGTATTCTGTTTGACCAACAAGTTGAAAACAACTTGCTGTGAGTGGGTTTATGATAAAAGAAGCGGAAATCTCCCTTTTTCCACTGCTCCCCCTCCCCCACACCCACCAGTGGTTTTCACATTTCTAGAAGTTTTCCCTCAATCTCCAGTCACTCTGGCTGCTGCACCAAACTGTTCTCAGGAACTTCTAGCCAAAACGAAACAAAACAAAAGAATAATCTAGAATTCTTTTTGAATTCTAGCCATCTCATGGTAAGGGATCTGATGAATACTCTCAAAGAAGAGCCATCTATCTATCTATCTATCTATCTATCTATCTATCTATCTATCTATCTATCTACCTACCTACCTACCTATATGGAGTCCAGAGTCCTGGTGTGGTGCCGTCGGTTAATGAACCACAAAGTCAGCAGTTCAAGCTCACCAGTTGCTCCTTGGAAACCCTGCACATGGTCACTGTGGGTCAGAACCGACTCAATAGCAATATAACTATATGGAGTCCTGGTGTGGCTCCGTAGGACAAAAAGAGATTTCAGTTGCTCTCATCATAAAACCCACTGACATCGAGTTGTATTTGACTTATAGGTCAGACAGAGGTCCATATAGTTATATAAACACAAGGTTGGTAGTTCAAACCCACCAGCGTCTCTTTGAGTAGAAATCGACTCGACAGCACTTCAAAACAACATAGAACTGTTGTATCTCCCCCACTGGGGGGGGGGGGTCTTTTCTTTCAAAGTTGTAGCAGTTCCTTTCTGCTTTAACTTGCTCTCTGCTTATTTCAAGCAGTTGTTTTTTATAAATAATTTCCCTGGGTTATAATTGTTATCTGTGGTAGAATTCATTCAACACAAGCTACTTAGCCATAAGCAGCATTTAATATGAGAAGTTTGAAAATCTTATTTTTCAAAGCTATTTTTAATTAGTAATATATTATGAAGGCATTGAAGAATTATTGGTGACTATGTCAGATTTTTTTTTTCCTGTTCAGCACTGCTATTAACATTTCAGTCATACTTTCAAATGCAATATTACTCTCTAGGCAGTTTTATGTGACGGTAATAAGAAAGAATGCTTTAAAAATGGATTAGGATTTTTGGAAAATTAGAGTTTAACTAAGAGATACAATATTCTTCATGCTAAATATGCAATAAAAGTGCAATCCTGACTCTATTCTGATGATATTGATGTCTCCTGTCAGGGTTGTCTACAAGAGTCTGTTTTCTAAACAATATGTATATAATGTAGTCTCAATGCTTTCCAAGTAAGTAAATAGAATAGTAGGAATTTCAGAGTTTGAGCTTAATTAGCAGTGGATTGATCAGGGAATCAACACATATTCTATAAGCACAACAGTCGTATTTATGATAAGATTGACTTAACGCTGAAGAGTAATGTTTTCTTTATATGTTCATTGGTTTATGATACGAAACATCCATGTGGTGTGCTGGAATATGAACTTGAAAGTCTAAAAGCCTTTTCACTTTACAACCAAACAAAATCAGCACATCCTAACTCAGACACAATTACTATTATGATGATTTTCAGAGAGATCTACTTAGAAGACTATTTTAAATTCGATTTTCAAATGCCTAAAATGTTAGAGATTGTATTTTTAAAGATAGGATCCATGGAACATTAGTTCTTCATGGCAGAGTTGGTACTTTAAAAAAAAAAAAAAGTAACTACCTGTTAAAATTCTAAGTTTCCATGTTTAAAGGTTTAATAAGTAACTTGTTGAAAACTTGGGCTTGCTAATTATAGGCTTCACCTTTATTTTGTGAATAATAGGATGCCTAATTATACTTCATTTCGAAGTGAATGATATTTTCTTTCAATAAATCAGAAATGTAACAGATATGTCTATTTCATCATATTAGAGAACTGAAGTGTACATGACCTAAAGTCCACTACACAAGACTCAAGTAACAGAGCATTCACACATAGGGCTCAGGTTAACCGTGCCACACTTGTTCTAATTTTTTCATGGCATGAATATCTCCAATATCTCCAATAGTTATACATATTTTGAGTTGATGAATAAAAAAATGAAAACTTAATCTTGCATAAGGAAATCATATGGAAATCACCATTCGTTCCGGTCAGCATCACAGTTGCAGTAAAACTGAGAATCAATGCAGGTCCCCTGGAATCCGCAGGTGCATTGTTTAGAATCGGGCATAGAACCTCCCCAGTAAGTCTGCATTTCCTTGGTTCTGCCAACCCACCAGCTCAGAGGGGTTCCATCTGAAAGATAAATGCAAGAAATGTGACATCTGTTTTACACCCCACTACCTGCCGTCCAGACACAGTCCCTTTCCTGCCCAAATCATTAAAAGAATAAAGAGTAAACGGCTGATCTGAAATATTCTAAACACTTTAGCAGGATGGCATTTCCCTAAGAAAGCTTGAAAAAATTACTACTGAGATTTAAATGATTAATACATGTTTCTCTCAGTAGAAAATAAACCAGAAGCTCTCATTTAATTCAGGCATGATATTAAATAATTTATTGAGAGCAATCCAATTTACGTAATTTCTTTAAAACTAATTTTTAACAGGATGACATTTAAAATACAAGCTGGAGTAATTAACAAACCAGAAACAAAATAGATTTGAAATCACGAAATAGCCATTAAAAACTGGGGGTGGTGTGAGTCAGTTCTGACTCACAGTGACCCTATATGTTTTTGTTAGAGAATGTCATATTTAGTCACTGATTAGATTGGCAGGCATTCCCTTGTCATGATTTGGTTTGAAATATGTTCTTTTTTTTCTATTTAAAGAGTATTTACGACTATTTATGGAGAAAAGACTGAAGTTATTAAAGACTTCATTTTGCTTGGATACACTATCAACACTCATGGAAACAACAGTCAAATTATCAAAAGACGTATTGCATTAGGTAAATCTGCTGCATTAGACCTCTTAAAGTGTTCAAGAGCACAGATGTCAGCTTGACACCTAAGGTGCGCCTGATCCAAGCCACGGTATTTTCAATAACTTCATGTGCTTGTGAAGTTGAACAATGAGCAAGAAAGACGGTAGAAGAATTGATACATTTGAGTTATGGTTTTAAAGAAGAATATTAAAAGTACCATTGGGGGTGTTGTTAAATGCCATTGAGTCGGTTTTGACCCATAGTGACCCTGTATAGGGTTTCTGAGGAGTGGCTGGTGAGTTTGAACCACCGTCCTTGCAGTTCAAACTGACCTTGTGGTCGAGTGCTTACCCTACAGTGCCACAGCAGGACTCCTAAAAGTACCGGGGACTTCCGGAAGCACAGACAAATCTGTGCTGGAAGAAGAAAAGCCAGAACGCTTCTTAAAAGCCAGGACTACAAGAGTCGGTCTCTCACACTTTAGACATAGAATCCTAAGGGACCAGTCCCTGAGGAAGGACATCATTCTTGGAAAAGTAGAGGGCAAACGAAGACGGAGACCGCAAGGAGCTGGGATGGCACAGTGGCAGCAACATCGGGCTCAAGCATAACAATTGTGAAAATGGCACAGGACTCAGCAGGGTTCCGTGTTGCCCAAGGTCTCTGTGAGCTGGAATAGACTTGATGGCACCTAACATGACACAGATACAGCACTTCACGCTGGAAGCAAATTTTATACCCAAAATAAACTTTCTCTTACTCAAAAGAATCTCTCTTTCTAGTGTGGATGTTTAACTATCCTTCTCAGAGTCTTTGACGAAGTTTGATGCCCAGGACCTAGAGTAAAGAGTGAACAGGGAATTTGGCTGTGGTGGTGGTGTGCCAAGGAGTTGGTTCTGACCCACAGTGACCCTGTATAGGGTTTCCGAGGCTGTAATCTTTATGGGAGGAAAAGCCTCATCCTTCTCTCACAGAGCAGCTGGTAGATTCGAACTGCTCACCTTATGGTTAGCAGTCCAGCTCATAATCCACTATGCTACCAGAGCTCCTTAGGAGAGGATTTATTGAAAAGGAAATACGCTATTCAGGGAACCTAGTTTGGAAAAGAGGAAAGGCAGAACTGAGGAAACCAGTTACTTAAAAGTAAGTGTATGAGAAGAAAGGTGGTTTTTGTTAAGTGCTGTCAAATCAGTCCTGACAAATATCCATCCTGCATAGGGTTTCTGAGGCTGTAAATCTTTAAGGGAGCAGAAAGCCTCATCTTTCTCCTGTAGAGCAGCTGGTGGGCTTGAACTGCTAATTCTGTGGTTCCAAGTCCAGTGCTCATCCTACAGAGCCACCATACTCCCATGAGAAGAAGGGCAGTGGTGTCAAATCGACAAGAGCAAACAAAAAGGTATGATGATCTTTTTGTTAACTCAAACTCTGAGATGGTCACCACAGCCCCATGAAAAGCTGGAACTTTTAGTGCTGTTCCTGGTAGTTACAAAAGCTCTTGCTCGCTATAATTTATTGTGAGATAGGACCTCTGCAAATACTGACACTCTCTCTCTCAGAATGCCATACCTGCCAGCTCAACCCAGTCAAAACATGGAGTTAACTGGGAACTTGAGTCACACGAAAGGAAGATCCATGGAAAATTTTATCCTCCTTAATGAATTACAGGGCAGTGAAACCCACCTGTAAGTCTAAAAAGATATTTCAATTGACTGCTAAAACATCATATTTTCATAGACTGAAGAGGAAATAAAGTATTATTTGTAAATACCCAATCATTTTTTAAAAAAATATTTAAATTCTCCATCTTTTCTATACAAAAGAAGTTGTCAGATGTCTCAAAGGTACAAAACACCTTTGGCTCTATTCAAGACGTTTTGAAGCATTGAAAAGAAATTTACAGATGCCTAAGAAAGACTTCAGAAAATCAAAAGGAGGAAGTGGGTGTTGGCAACAGAGCAGAAAGTTTAACAAGAATAAATGATAAGGATTGAACACTCCAGCTGCCAAAATAAAAACCTTAAATGAGTTGAGTATTTACATTGATCATTCTTCCAATTTTCTAAGTCACAGCTCCTTGGCTTGCTGAAACTGATTTTCATACACACTCTTCTCCACCCATCCACAATTACAGGGCTGTTCAAAAATGTGTCACTTGAAACTAAGATCTGAAAACTTGTTCGACATCACCTTCCTATTCTCCCCTGAAGCTAATTCTTCACCCCTCCTACACTTTGACTTATTTCTTATTCCAGCCTCAAATCTGAATTGTTCACTCCCTTTTCAGTCTCTTTCCATCTCCAACCCATTCTACGTGAGTCAGTGTGTCACGATCCTAAAGATAACTGTATGCTTGAAACTATCATCATCCCCTGTTCCAAAGCCTTTGTGATAAACAGAATTGTCCCTAAAAAGATACGTTCTGATCTCTGGTAGCTCGAAGTGTGACCTTTGTTTGGAAACAGAACCTTTGATGATGTCATCAGTTAACATGAGGGCATACTGCCATGGAGTCAATTCCGACTCACGTGACTTTACAGGTCCGAGCCTAACTACTCCATAGGGTTTCTAAAGATGCAAATCTTTACAGTAGTACGTAGCCTCATCTTTCTTTCCTGGAGTGGCTGGTGGGTTTGAACCACTGATCTTGCGGTTATCATCCCAACACTTACCCCACAGTGCTACCAGCACTTCTCTACTGGAGTGGCAGTTGTTGTTGTTAAGTGCCAACAAGTCAATTCCAACTTGTAGCAAGTCTATATTCGAACCAACTCGATGGCACTTAACAAGAACGAAACTGAAAGGTGATGGCGTGCGATCGAGTTGGTTCTGAGGCTGTAAATATTTATGGTGTGGTGCTAAACGATAAGCACTGGACTACGAACCACAAGGTTGGTGGTTTCAAACACACCAGCTGCTCCTCAGAAACCCTATACAGGGTCTCTATGAGGGAATCAATTCGACAACAACAACAACACATATTTATGGGAGCAGAAATCTTCATCTTTCTTCCTCAAAGCACCTGGTGGACTCAAATTGCTGCCCTTGCAGTTAGCCCAACACCGACCTCACTACAGCAGCCATAAGCATGGTGCACTTAGGATTTGGAAATGCCAGAGGCTCCTGGACTTGTACCTTGCTCACAGAAATGCCCACGACCTTCTTAAATAGAGTTCTTGGAAAACTGGAAGTAAACGACAATGGAATTTTCCCACACACTCTTTGAAGCCATGTCATAGAAGAGTATCCGGATGGAAATGGTGTTGCTGGAAACGCCATCTTCTTCGTAAAGATGAATACACTTACTGGGTTACATGGTGAACGGTTAGGAGACATAGAGAGGCCAGGTGAAAGCTTTGCAGTGATTTCAAGAATTAACTAATGAAAGGGGTGATGGTGGTCCCAGAGTTGAGCGGTGATATTCTGACATGGTAAGGTGTTTCAGGGGAGAAAGCACAAAACTAGGAGCAGATTTTAGGAGAAAACTAGCTATCAAGAATCGAACAGAGGAAAAAGGTCTGATGATTTTCTGGTTCCTAGTTGAGCTATTGGATAAGCCATGCTTCTCACAGCCGATTCTAATTTTCAATTATCCCCAGAGGCTAACTGCCAACAATCCATGGAGAACATCACACAGAATAGTCGCTTCCAGAAAACAGCTCTATTTTTATTAGCTCTTTTCTGTGATGAAACAAATCTTCTGTGTCACTTGCCCTTCTCAGGGATGAACACTGTGTGTTATTTGAGGATCAGACAAAAGCCCTTTACTGTACCATGTATGCTATCAGGCAGATCAAACCCACCAGCCATTCCTTAGACTCGCTATTGATATTGTTGTTGTTGTGATGTGCCACGAAGTCAGTTCCGACTCCTAGCGACCTTGTACAGGGTTTCCAAGGCTATAAATCTTTATGGGAGCAGAAAGCCTCATCTTTCTCCCGAGGAACAGCTGGTAGTTTCTAACTACTGACTTTTAGGTTCACAGCCCAATTCGTAACCACTACTCTACCAGAGCTCTTTTGGACTCGCCATACAGGGTTGCTATTTTGAAATGGACTTGAGAACACTGTACAATAACAACATCAACATCCTATCAAGACCAGGAAACAATCAGGGGAGCAAGCAAGGGTTTGAACAGAGTTCAATGTAAACTGACCGTCTTCTTTTACTTCAGACAAAAACATCTCGAAGATTTTCCGACTGTAGCGTGTTTCTTTGCTAAGTGTCTGAGGACCAGCCCGCCACAGTGGTCTCGTGCCACCATTATGGCAGAATTAAAAGCCACCATAGCTGGGGGAAGGGCTTGCGTAACACAACACGCGTGCTGGGGGGGGTTGCCTCAGTTTACTCACCTTGCTTATTTACAAGCCGTGACTTCCTGCAGTAGTAAGCAAGCTCCTGTTCACAGTGCTCTGCGAGGTTAATTGTGGCCTGAAGTTGATCCATGCTGGCTGTGTACTCAAAAACCCCAACGTGTGGGCTCTCTGGGTGAGCGCCCATGACTCTGGTTAAGTCAGAGCCATTGTGTTGCAGGACGGTCCAGGCAGTTTCTTGTATGCACAAATGGGAGAGAAAGAGGGGGGGAGCATCACTAGTCTGTAAAAGTTCAAATAAATCAAGAAAATCAAAATCACCTGGAATCTGAGTCGACCTGTTTTCCTAGTTATCAACTCTCTCTCAGAGGGAGAGGCAACACAAATGGGGTTCGTAAAAGCTTTAACTCTCACTAAATGGATTCTGTCTCTGGAGATTGGTATTTTTGCCATGAGGTTGCACTGATTTTATATCATGTTTTCATATAATTTAGCCAGAGAATACTTACGGTATGTACGTACTTAGGTACACACACACACACATATATATACAGGAGTACTGGTGTGGCGCTGTGGGATAATGCACTAAACTGTGAGGTCAGTTTAAACGGCAAAGTTGGTGGTTCAGATTTATCAACTGCTCCTCAGAAATCCTATACAGGGTTGCTATGAGTCAGAACACAACTGACAATCCTTAAAAACAACATATTAAAAAATACATATATTTTTATGTTGTTGTTATACGTTGCATATATATATAATTGTTGTTATGTATTGTACATATACATGTGTATGTCTGTGTATTGTATATATACATACTTGCTGGACTGCCAGTTGAACTTAACTGGACCACAAGGTCGGTGGTTCAAGTTCACCAGCTGCTCCTCAGAAACCCTAGACAGAGTCGCTGTGAGTTGGAGCCTACTCAACAGCACCTAACAACAACACGTATATAAATATACACATAAATATGCGTATGCATATAAATATACATATATATATATACATGTTGTTGTTAGGAGCCGCCAAGTCAATTCCCATTCACAGCGACCCTATTTAGGGTTTCTGAGGAGCAGCTGGTGGGTTTGAATTGCCAACCTTATGGTTCTCAGTCCAGTGCTGATCCTACAGCGCCACAAGAGTCCTGGTTTGGCGCTGTTGGATAAGCAATTGACCACAAGGTTGGTGGTTCAAATCCACCAGCTGCTCCTTGGCAACTCTATACAGAGTCTCTGTGAGTCACAATAGCAGCATAAATAGGAGTCCTGGTTTGGCGCTGTTGGATAAGCACTCAACTGTTTGGTTGGTTGGAACGGCAGGAAGATCAACAGTTTAACCAGCTCCTCCTAGGAAATCCTATACAGAGTCACTCTGAGTTGGAGCTGACTTGACAGCACTTACCAACAACAACAAATTAGACAGATAGATAGATAGATAGATAGATAGATAGATAGATAGATGATAGACAAAGATAGATAAATAGATGATAGATAGATAGATAGATAGATAGATAGATAGATAGATAGATAGATAGATAGATACATACATACATACATACATACATACAAACATACATACATACATACATACATACATAATGTATAGACTCCTGGTGTGGCGCTGTAGGTTAATGCGCTGGATTGCAAAGTTGGTTTGAACCACAAGGTTGTCAGTTCAAGCTCACCAGCCACTCCTCAGAAACACTATACAGGGTCACTATGGGTCGGAACTGGCTCAGTGGCACTTAACAATATATATTATCCTACAGAGCTACACCAGGATTCCATACACATACATTTATGTTGTTGTTAAATGCCATCGAGTTGGTTCCGATGGTGACCCTGTATTGGGCTTCCAAGCTGGTGAGCTTGAACCGCCAACCTTGTGGTTCAAGCCAACTTTGCAGTGTAGCGCATTAACCCACAGTGCCACATCAGGACTCCACATCCGTTTATATATTTGTATATATATGGAAAATGGATTACATTTCTGTGATTGATTTCCTTTCATCCAATCTGATACCCTGTCCTTTTAAAAATGTACCATTATTTTGTGTACCATCAAAAAAGAAAAAAATATGCTTCCTATTATTATTGTAAGACTTTGTGGATTGTTAGCACACACTGTCTTCAAAGATATTACCATGTGAAAAACTGTGAGGTCATTTAAATTTCACAATGTAAGCGATGACTTTTCTGTTCTAAAAAAATTATTTATGTCCCCAATAAGAAGAAAGCCAAACTTTGATATCTTATTTATTTCTCTTTTTAATCAGCATTATACGTACACACCTGTTTTCCTTTCAATCAGATAATCACATATTCATTTTTGATATCATGTGAACTCCACCGTTAGACAACACAACAAGAAATGACTCATTTCCACTGAAGATGTCCTGTATTGCATCAGCAGTGCAACTGCTACAAAACACACAATATTTTTGAGCAGCTTCTATAGATAACACTGTAGCTATCAGAATGTCTATAAATATTCCCTGCACACTGATTACCAGAATCACTTGGATGAAATAAAAACCCCACAATGTTTGTAACAGAAGAGAAATGTGCTGTATCTTTCACCTTCCCTAGCAATAAATCCAACTTTAACCCCTGCTGTCGAGTGGACTCTGACAGATAGCAACCCTATAGGAGAAAACAGAACGACTCCAGAGGGTTCACAAGGTTGGGATTCTTTCTTGTAACCTTTCATTGTGAATTCAGTGAAGGTGTTCGGAGCGGATCATCAGTTTGATCTTGGTTTCGTCTCAAGGATTGCAATCCCCTCCATGGAACAACACTTGTCCCACTTCATCCCTGTGGTTCTTGTTTCCGTTCTCCTCCTTTCCCCACCCTGCTGAATGTTGTCCTAAGGTAAGCGCTGCCCTTTGGATCTTGACTGATTGACCATTCTGTAGTGAATGGATCTCACTAGTGTTGTTGTCCCGGCCTCTGTATACCTATCTAACTGGGAGGCTGCAAAGAGCCACAAGGGTGGGTTCGGTTCCCGACTTGAAGAATGACCAAGGGCCATACATAGCCTGGGGTTTCTCTAGTCTTGTGAGCTAAGGCTGCAAATCGGTATTAAGGAGGCTGTCACACCTTTTGCCCATAAAGCAGCTAGTGGATTGGAACTGCTAACCTTTCTGTAGCAGATGTGTGCTTAACTACTATGCTACCAGGGCGCTTGCCCAGCAATTGACGTCACTACTTCTACTGTGAGAAATGCAGGCACACAAACACATTCATCAAAAGGGCTCTGGTTGAAAGAGAGGAAAACCGATGGAGAGTTGTCAGAACTCTGCTACATATGTGCTGGTAAGTCACATAATTGCTTCTGTATTAAAATGAAAATTTCAACATTGGAGAAAGCAAATAATAGTAAGTGGGGTTACCGTTATTTTTTCTCTCTCACTAGCTAAGATAGATAATCAAAATGATGTAAGGAGGTGCACTTTGATAAACTTCACTCGTCCCCCCACCCCCCTTGTCATGGAGTGTTGAGGCTGAAGCATGGTAAATGGGGCATGAGACAAACTTGGCAGTCTTCCTTCCTTCCCCATGTGGACTGTTCTTGAGCTGAAACAATAGCTGTCACTCATACTCCCCCTTGCATTTCAGCTCCCCTGGAGTTTCTTAAAAATGGATCTGGTTTAATTTGTTGTTGTTGTGAATAGACAAGCAGAATGTACACCAATTCAACAGTGTCTACAATGTACAATTCAGTGATGCTGATTCCATTGTTAAGGGTTGTGCAATCATTCTTACCCTCCTCATTTGAGATGCTCTTCTCCATTAACATGCACTGACTGCCTGCGAAGGTTCCTACTTAATCTTTTGAGTTGATGTTGTTAATTTGATCCCATATCGACGGATCTTAAGAGAGCTTAATACTCCAGGCAGACTTTTTCACTAGTTAAGCTAAACTACTGCATGGATTAGATCTCAAGACAAAGAGAAAAAAAAAAAAAAAAAAAAAAAAGCCCTCACAACTGGATCAATCAGCAACATCTTGATGTTGTTTTTGTTGTTAAGTGCCGTCTAGTAGGTTCTGACTCCCAGTGACCCCGTATGGGTTTTCTGAGGCTGTAAATCATTGCAGGAGCAGAAAGCCTCCTCTTTCTTCTGCGGAGCAGCTGGTGGGCTCAAACCTCTGACCTTGTAATTCGCAGTTCAGCGTTTATCCTAAACAACCTCTTGATAAACACAGAAGATAAGGAAGTTGTCAAGGATTTCATTTTACTTAGCTACGCAATGAACACCCATGGAAAGAGGAGCTAAGAAATCAAATGATGTGCTATACTGGGCAAACCTGTTGCAAAAGACCTCTGTCAAGTGTTAAAAATGCAAAGATGTCTCTAAGGACTAAGGCGCGCCTGACCCACGCCGTGGCATTTCCAATTGCCTTGTGTACATGGAAAAGCTGAACAATGAATAAGGAGGATCAAAAAGGAATTGATGCCTTTAAATTGCTGATGAAGAATACTGAATACTGAATACACAATGGACTTCCAGAAGAATGAACACATTTGTCTCGGAAGAAGTACAGCCAGAATGTTCCTTCGAAGTGAGGATGGATGGAGTGACTTAGTCTCCCATACTCTGGACATGCTATCGGGGGGACCAGTCCCTGGAGGAGAATCAGCAGGCCTGGTAAAACAGAGGGTCAGAGGAAAAGGGGAAGACCCCCCAATGAGATGGATGAACACTGTAGCTGTAACCGTGGGCCCAACTAAAACACTGATGGTGAGGAGGCTGCAAGCTCAGGCCGTGTTCTGCTCTGTTGTCCCCAAGGTCACTACTGAGTCAGAAACAACTCAATGTTTGATTTTACAAGTTCAGGGACGATACTTTGGATTGGGGTTTATTCCAGGGAATACTTTCAGGGGTCCATTTGACCCCCATGGCTCCAGACACTCTGGAGTGTGTGAGAATTTGAAATTCTGTTCCGCATTGTCCCTCTTTCGATCAGAATTTTTCTGCAGACTTCATGATAAAATGTTCAGTGTTGGTAGCAAGACGCCATCCATTTCTTTTCATCTCATGACAAAGGAGACAGCTGTTCATGGAAGCAATGAGCCACCTATTCTGCTTCCTCCTCCTCGTCTTGACTCTCCTTGGACCTCTGCTGCTCCAGGTGACGAGAGGCCAATTGTGTCCTACATGGCTGCCGGCACAAGTGGTATCATGAAATTATGTTCCTCAAAGAAGACACGATACATCAGCATATTGCTATGGATG